GGTCTTTTAGCACGAATTTCTTTAATTGTATCATTTACTGTTTGTAAGCGAGTAAAAGATAAGTGCCTTCGAGTTCCTCTCAGGCCATAACTTGATACGTCGTGCAAACTACTTGAGCCATGGAATCTAGGATACGAGAACTCCACGATTCTTACGACTGATTTGTTATCGCACGGACATTTCGCCACGTGCGCGTATCGCGCACTATTTGCGGTTACTTCACCGGGGACTCGATTTCCTCGACGAGCACGTAGCAAATGAGGCGTGTAGAAAACGTGTAGCGGCTACTCTCATCGGGAGAAGCGGTGGACAGGAGGACGGTTGTCGTTATCGCGCCTACAACACAACGTCTCGACGAATGAATCCCGCGGCCGCTATCGAGAATTATCTCCCATTGTGCGTTCTTAGCGGTTTTCTACGCGGCGAGCTATACCAGTTTTCCCGGTGGCAGGCTGCGCGAGATCCGCGCGGCAACCGACGGGCTTCCTGGACACTGGAATCCTTGGCATGGTTATGGTTTTAGTTTCCGCGGCCAATACTCCTGGTGTCCTTCCGCGCTTGCGAGCCTTCCTTTGATCCCAGCTCACTGGGAGCGTAAATTCTCAGGCGAACGCATATTTGAGCAGCAGTCTCGATTGTAGTTTTCTGTAGATACTTGCTCCGATTAGTGTCTGTCGATCGAGGTGTCAGGAAGGGAATGCGGTAGACGATAAGGATAAAATGTCCGTATTTTCAGTCTTTGATCGATACGTACCACAAGGAAGTATAGATATTCGCGACAGTTATGAGTGGTCTTTTTTTTTACATACATGTCGTTTAATCCTAGAGAGCTGAGAGTGATAAGGCACGATTAATATAGTGAGAGAAAAATAAGACATTTATCCGGTGATTATTAATAATATATCTAGTTAAAGGAATGTGTCATACTTGAAAATTTTGCCATCATAATACTGACTTCTTTCTGCAAATTATGTTTACGTCATACATTGCTTGTACAGAATTACAGATGCTTTTACACACCGAAAATACGTGCAATAATGAATTAGAGCGTTGCTCGATATGTGACGAAAGCGATGAAAAATTTTAAAATTGACATCTCAAGCTCTGTCAGTTGGCGTAAATATTTACTTGGTACAAAAGTTCTGCACTTCGTTTCGTTCCGCACGTGTGTTTGCTTCGCTAACGAAAATTTCGAGGAACATTTCCTTCATAACTGAATGTAGAAGCTTTAAAAGTACACGAAAAGTTTGCAGAAAGATTCTATGCGTGGTTATATTTCCTGCTAGCATAATAAAACGAAGCAGCACACATTTACATAAGAAAAGGCTAGTATGATCGTGTTAGTGACGATCGCCTCTGTATTATCGATATTTTTCGAATTCGTCGCCCACTTAAATTCTTTAATTTAAACAGAATGAACAATTGCTTTCATGGAAAGCTGAGGTTTCGAGAAAATGTATATTTCCTGTTTGGAAAATATTTTCCAATACATATAGTATAAGTGAATACGTTATTGATACCCACCGTGCGTATAAATCTTATTTCTATATTTGTTCTCTCAATGTAAGGATGAGTCATGCTTACTCGTTCAAGTAATATTTCCCAAAAAAGCAGCGGTATCCATTTCAGTGGGTGTTGAAATCAATGTTAAGAAGGACAGCTTGAGGCTTTCAGTATGAGTAGAAGTTGCCTTTTGGCCTATCTTTTGAGCTAAAATCATTTTGAAACTTCTCAAATATCTGTAAATGGAGAGAATCGTCTTTGCATCGTCTTGTACGTCTTGCACGTTCATTTCGGGATTTATTAACAAAACGAAAAGCATCGCGTCGATCACGCGTCCGCGGACGAATGTATCATCCGGGATCAAGAGTTGCGTTCGCAATGGTAACGTAATTTCCGCGTGTGTTACACCTCTCGACGAACGAGACAAACGATGCCGATTACCGTGTCTAACACGCGTGTGCTGTCAAGCTTCTTATCGTGGTCAGCTCGTCGACGATAACAAAGCATGGGCAACGCAATTACGGGAATAGACCGAGACGCCGGGAGCTGCAGCGAGGCCTCCGACTGCGTAAAGCCGCGATAATCGGCGCGTCCCGTAAGATATTACATTCGGATGAATCCATGGAGAGAGAATGCACCGACTTGTTGTTCGCCGTGGCGACGGAGATATCTTCGATCACGCTTTCTTCTTATGCGACGGCGCTGTCATGGTCGAGCGCCTACGGTAACGATGTCCCGAGGTTTCTTCGTTTCTCAGGACAGTCGCGCGTCGTCGAAAACATTTGTCGGATGGTTTCTCGCGTTGTAATGAGTGGGAAACAGAGGCGGGAAAACTCCGCCGCGAGGCTCAAGAAGCTCGGTCTTCGTCGTGGGCGACAATGTCGAGAAGAATGAAATGAAATCTGGAAAAATCCCGAGGAGGGAATTGAAACGATTTATTTAAAGGAATTTTAATCCCCCTTGCCCCCTAAATATATCCCAGACTATAATGATACGCGAGTAGAAAAATTTCATTACTCTACAGGCAAAAGTTTATATTGGTGTGATGTTTGGCGCTGTGTTGAATTGTTCGCGCTATTCGAGTACGACACCCAAAGTTCCAACTTGATAATTAACTCGGTGAAAATACATACACACACGCTCGTGCTATTTTTCTACCGATACGCGGTCGAAGATCAACGGCGCCTCGCAGTTTCGCAGCGCGTGCTGATTAATCTCCGGAAAAACTGCGAAATTGAGTCCCCACACGGGACGATCGCGGGAACGCTCGTTCCGAGAGAGAGACCGGTTTGAGATTATTATAGAAGAACAGGTTATACGCGGCCGCTGTGAACGAAACTCTGAATATATCTCATAAGAATCGAGATTATCGCGGTTCTAGCCATCAAAAACACTCCACAATTTCTCCGCGAATCCGCTTAAACGACGCCTCCGTCACAGCCGAGCGATCTCCCAGGATTTATTTTTACCTCATCGCGTCAAATGCGATTCTTATATCCTCCGTCTCCCTTTCTCTCCAAAGTACAACCGCTACACGATTTTTGCACACTTTCGAAAACTCGTTTCTTGTTAACACGTAGAGTGTATACTCCAAGTTTCACTCGGCGATGCAGCGGCGCTGAATCTTCTATGCACCTCTCTCGCGAGCAATTGGGGCAGGGTAATTTCGTAGACGAATAAATTTAGTCCACTCGCTCCCGATTCGACAATATTTCAAAACGATATCTGCGATCTCGAGTAACTTCCACGGTGGAAAGTCCATTCTGACGGTCGCTATATTCGACTTGGCGATGTTATTATTAGATATATGCTAGCGAAATATGAAAAACGATATCGCAAATCGATATCTTTTCTCTTTCTCTCTCTTTCGCGATCTTCTCTTTTTCTTTTAACGTTCGAAATTATCGAAACACTCTGACGAGTTTTGACTCGGAGAAGTATGAAGAAATCGACAGAATTAGAAAGAGCTCGCCGAAAAATTCAAATGTTGAAACACGACTAACAAAGAGCTAGTGATACTTTGCCTTCGAGCTTATATAATATGATTTACGCGATAGCGGATGTGAGTTCGCAAGAGGCATCGGGTAAACGCGAAAAAGTATTAGACAGGAAATCCCGCTCGCCTCGTTTGATAGGAGGAAGTGATCGGCAATGTAAACTGGTTTATTGATTTAGAGTAGAAACCGGACGGTGAACGCGGCCAAGTTTAGAAGACAAACATGAAATAAATTACCTGGTTTTAAGTATATAAATAGGGAGTTACTCCGTCTGAAAATACATAACCACGCGCACCGCTGGGCTAATTAATTGTTGCGACACAGTGGCTTTCTTTCGTATCGCGAATACAATCGCTTCGCGAGACCGCTATGATCGAAGTAAATTGTGAAATTCGCTCTCGCACACTTAGCTCTCATTACACGCTTCGCGTGTATTATTATTGTATGTGTATAGGTTGGTAGAACGTTGTGAGACTTGTATTCTACTAGAGCGAATCAATGAGAGTGGTTGGACTGTGCTTTGCGAACTATATCGATGACATCATGTATGTATATGAGCTTGTGTACGAGTCGCTCATTTAGCGAATGTTACGACTCAAATTTGAAGTGAAACGAGTCCCAGCCGCAAAGCAGTCGCAGATTCACGCAGTCTGTTTTTTAATTTCTATTTTTTTCCGTCAATTCAGCCCTTCCCTTATTCCCATTTTTCACTTATTTCAGAGTTTTTCGCTCTCACTCCTTCCGCGTATTTCCTTCAATCGTCAGGCTAATCTTTAAGTCAAACTAATTTTAAAGCTTCTATTGACGTTCACTCACGTTATCCTCTTCCGCAATCACTTCGCGTGCTTAGAAGATTTTAAAACGTGACGTCTGCGCTCCTGTTCTCAAGCATTGGCCAATATTTTTTGTTCTTCTTTTTTTTCCACTTGTTGCCTTACGCAGCGGGCATTACGCCGTGGGAACCGCGTTGGCTATAGAATGGGTTTCAGGGCGAGCGGGAAAGTTACTAGTTATGGTAATTCCGAAGGGTATGGCGCTCGCGATGCAAGATCGACTCTCGCTGTCCGACGAAATCCGGAATACAAAGATACTTCTTGTAAACCGGCGGCGTTTAGAAAGTACACTTACTTTCTTTGTTCTCTCGGGAGACGCCGACTTTCGTCGATTCCCGAAGATGCGTCGATTCATCATTCCCTCCCACTTGCGAAATATCAGGAAACGGCTGCGAGATTATTGCAGTAACGATGATTCGGCATGGAAAACGTGCTTTTTAGAGAAACGCAAAATCAACGACGAGAATGTCACAAGATAAAAATTATATCCACCTTTTCTCCGTTTCTCTCTCTCTCTCTCTCTCTTTCTTTTTGAAATTATTTTCTATTATCTCTACTTATTTTCATCGCGATGCGAAATCGCTGCGCGGCATTATTGCTTCAGTTTACTTCTTCCAGCTGTCACGGATCATCTTCGCTCCCCTAATGTTCCTCTGTATTTTTTCAGGTCAGCTTTGCAGACGTTGCACAAGGTGTCCGGTAAGGCACGCGAGCAAAACTATTTTCTAGGTGGACTGTCTCACGACTGGGTCAGCTACTATGAGCAACGAATCGAGAGTGATCGGTCGTGCCTCAACGAGTGGCACGCCATGGACAATCTGGAGTCCAAGAGACCGCCGTCACCGGACAGCGTACGCACCAAGTAAGTCCAGACTCTCATTCATCATGATTCTCTCCTTCGAGAACGCAGCAGGCGTTATCGATAAAATGTCACATCTCGATCGGAGACTGACGCGGAGGGGATAGAGATTGCGCAGGAAGGGAGAATCGGGGAACAACACCGCGCGCGCGGAGACGCGACTTTTGGCCTGTCCCCGAAACGCATTTCGCGTTCGGGCGAAATCGATTTCGCGGGGCATATAAGACGATCCGTCGGTGAGCAGCTGGCCACTGCGAATTTAACTTGGTGCCGTGCCAGAGAGCCGGGCGGTTTGTTGATGCGCGTTCTCTGGGTGTCTGCGCCGCGGTCGCGCGCACAAGTGGAGCATAACTTTACAGCCGTCCTTCAATTATTTCCAGTTTCCGCGTACGTCCTGCCGTTCCGAGCGCTAAACATTTCGCGGTATATTAGGTCACTTCGACTATTGGATTCGCGCGGTATTACGAAATCCTGGAGTACGCGCGCGGTGATCGATGTGCGCCGCGCAGCTTCCGCTACGTTCTACTTCGGGGTGCCTCCATTTATCGTCGTGAACCGCTCGCGAGTCCATTTTTAGTATCGTTTATCTCGCTGATCTCTCGCCGGTGAATCTGCACAGAAATATGAAATGATTGCGAAAGACGATTGGACGCAGCACGGCGTCAAGCTGCGACGGAAATGAAAGCATGAACCTTTATTTCACACTTTGTAATTAATAAGAGTAACTCAGATCAAATGTATCAGCGACTATTTGTAATTAGATAACTTGTATATGATTTCTCATAATTTTTATTAAATTTCATCTAGTACGAGCTTATCAAGTTGCAATATTATCCATTTTTCATTAAATGGAAGTATTGTTTTGTGTAACGTAAGACCCAGGGAGAGAGAGGAGACCGAGCGCGTGATCCGATCTACGCTGAAGGAAATCATGATGTCCGTGGACCTTGATGAAGTTACTTCCAAGTACATTAGAGGCAGGCTTGAGGAGGATCTCGACATGGACCTTGGAGAATTCAAGCCGTTTATCGATCAAGAAATGCTCACCATACTGGGGCAAATGGATGCGCCGACCGAGATATTCGATCACGTCTATCTCGGGAGCGAGTGGAACGCTAGCAATTTAGAGGAACTGCAGAAAAATGGGTACGTTCGATTTCAGCGCGCGCGGCATATTCCCTTACGTATATAGCCTCGCGTCGTCATGAGAATTTCATAGTCGTCCTTAATTTTGTTACGAGATAAAACAGTGACATACTTTTTTGGTATTTTTATTCGCACGATGTTTCGATCAGCAGCTGTGTCACCAGCTATTTCTTTCCACGTAGATGTAAAAGTTAAAATTAAATTGCATCCTTAAATACTAGACACTTGTTTTCTCGAATCTTGAGACGAATCTTGCGCCAGAATAGTCGCTCGATCGATTTTTCAATTGTAATTTAAACAACCGAGCTTTATCGTATATTGAAAACTGTGCTGCAGAAGGGATACTGTATAATGAAAAGATGTAAGGACAGTATCCGGTTTGTATTACTTTTTACCGTATGCTTTCAGCGTAAGGCATATCTTGAACGTCACTCGCGAAATCGACAACTTCTTCCCGGGCATGTTCACCTATTTGAACGTACGTGTATACGACGACGAGAAAACGGATCTGCTGAAGCACTGGGATAACACGTTCAAGTACATCACCAAGGCGAAGAAGGAGGGCTCCAAGGTGTTGGTACACTGCAAGATGGGCGTGTCCCGGTCTGCCTCTGTGGTGATAGCTTACGCGATGAAGGCTTACAACTGGGACTTCTCGCAGGCGTGGAAACACGTTAAGGAGAAGCGCAACTGCATCAAGCCCAACAACAGTTTCCTCCTGCAGCTGGAAACGTACCAGGGTATCCTGGATGCGATGAAGAACAAGGAGAAGCTGCAGAGGTCCAAATCCGACACGAACCTGAAGTCTCCGACGTCCGTGAAGGATCAGTCGAAGAAGGAGGAAAAGTCGGACAACATCGAGAACAATCTGCGGGAGGTCTCAGGTTCGGAATTAAAGAAGAGCAGTCAAAGACCGAAGAGCTGGTCGCCGAACGTGAAAATCGCTGAGAATATGTTACCTACCGGTGAGTTCTTTACTTTGATACACGACAAGTCGATGGTTTTCTTACGTAGATTTACTCTATTAACGAATAGCCAGACCATTTATTTTACTTACGAAAAACGCTTGTTTCACTATGTTGCAGTTCCTTTATCGCAGTCTTTGGAAAGCATCGACAAGGCGGGAAGTACCGAAGTTACGCGAGAGGAGCTTCTTCGCGGTTCGAATCAAAAGCCGGCGATGGAGCAGGAAGCGCGCAACGTTCTGATGCCCTGCGACAACGGACAATCCTACAGTGTATCGCAGAACAAGATAGTGCATCTACCCGCCCCCTCTCCCGGCACACCTAGCGTAAAGAATAGGATTAGTAAGCTGGAAACTCAGGGACAGAAGAGGAAGGGCTTGGTGCTCAATCTGACCAACCAGTTCGAGGCGGCTAGCAGTAAACCGTCGTCGCCGGGGTCCGATTCGGACGGCAAACCGCTACCTTCGGCGGCCACGACGGCGGAGGAAGGCGGCAAGCCGGTCGAAAACGGTCATCCGCATTGCGAGCAATCGCAAGAGACGCGAGAGACCGCGAGTACCGTCGCGAGAGCGCCTTCCGAACAAGAAGTTTGGGATCCCGGCGAGGGACAGAAAACGAGACGAAAGGAGACGAGCGAGTCCACCGAGATCAACGATAATAGTGAATGTCTAGTCTGGACTGCGTCCGCGGATGCAACGTGTGCTGATACGTGTGGTGACAATAAAACTGCTGACGGAGACGTGAGTGTGGAGAGTGAATGTATCGCGAGTGCGACGACGAGCATGACAGCGGCGACTGCGATGTCGACAACGACAATTACGAGGGCGACAACGACGACAACGACGACAACCGCGTCGTCAACGACGTCGACGTGTTCCGATATTTTGGGAAACAAAACGAAAAAGGACGGTGATCCGTTCAGCACTCAGTTGGACAGGGTGTTCGACCGTGAGGAAAGACGGGGCGATCCCGTCACCAGGGAATCTCCGAGCCGGCAAAGTTCCTGGAGCAGTTACGACAGCGCAGTGGTGCTCGATAACAACTCGGTGCACAGTTCGTGGGCCACGTTACCGTCGAGGAACAGTTCTTGGGGCTCTTACGATATGCGGCCGTCCGATTTACTCGGCTCCAGTGGCCTGTTCCCCTACGACAAAGAGGAGATACCGTGGCATCCGGGTACGGTGAAGCGCACCAAGCAGAAATTAGAGGAGGGCACGACTGTGAGTGGTGTGAAACGCGTGTGCACTCAGGGCTCGAGCGCGGACGAGAAGAGTGACAGGCTGACCGGCGAGACGGACCCGGTAGCCCCGCCCGAGACGTACAATCCAGTGCTGCTGCATCATATGCCGTCGCCGACGCCGCGAAGAAGGGACTCGTCGCCCACTCAGGAACATAATCTTAAAGTAGAAGCGAATAGAGACTCCCCGAGTCCGGTAGGCAGCATCGATATCTCCCTCACGTCCATGCGTCAAATCGGACGGCTATCCACCAGTGCCCCCGCGCCGTCCTCGCTGTCCTCCGAGTCCGATCTGCCGTTGTCTTTGAGGTCCTGCCGATCGGAAAGCGAGACATCCAGTCCGTGCGTTGTCAATACTCCTCAGTGTCCCTCTGTGAAACACCACAAGATGGTTTTGGAGAATCTTTGTAACAAGTCCGTGTTCAATAAGCGCTGTCTGTCTGTGGACGATTCGCCGGAAGCGGAGTGCCCGCGTAGCACGTCCGGTATAGTCAAGAACTTGAAGAAGGAGTTCGAGGCGAAGTCGACCAAGTTGGAAAAGAGTCCGGAGACCGCATGCGAGGGCGAGAGCACGAGTGCGTCGTTGATAGTACGGCCCAAGAGGGACGTGAAGATCAGGAGCCTGCCCTCGTCACCGGTGATCCCACACAACGAGTCCAAGATCCAGTCGTCGTCCAGCGTCGGCGAAACCAAAGACAAGCAAGGCAGGAGAAGCGACGCGACGCCGCCGTCGTCGCAGGACAACATGGAGGACCTCTCGGTGAGGGTGTTGGTGGGCAAGTACGAAGTGGCCAAGCCAGAGTCCAGGAAGAACTCCGACGTGCAACTGCGCGTGCACAAAGACAAGGACTGGGACTCCATGGAGGTCCATCCGCCGGCGAAGTCCAAGATCGCGCCGGAGTTCTCCAGAAGATCCGCGCCGATCATGATCAACAATCACTCGTCCTCCCTGTTCAGCGAGGCGCCGGAAGCGCCCGGCAGGCCGCCGGTGCCCTCGCCAAGCGTGGTCGTGGCCAGCGTGGTGGCGAAGGCAGCTAGCAAGAAGCAACAGCAGCATGGCAGAACCCATCCCCTCGCTAGGCTGCAGGTCAGGCCTAGGCACAGCAGTCCCGTCTACAACACCATGTAGAGGAAACAAACGACGCGCTCCCTCCCCCACCTCCCCGTGTGTGCGTGTGTGTATGATGTGTACGTCGTCGTTCGGACTCTTTTTTTACGCGCGACGCGAGCGCAGCGTACCCCGCGACTGCGGGGCGTGTGTGAGTTACCCGCGATCGCGCCGCGGGTAACAACGTCATCGTAACGATGAAATCGTGTGATCTCTTTTTGACGTTGGCGATGGAGATTGGGTTTTCGAAGCCAAGATAATCGCGCCTGTTCTAAGAGTAGAGATATCTTCGTCATCTTATTCTACGTCTGTCTTTTTTTTATTTTTAATATCTGTTTTCATCGTCTTCGCGCTGCAATCGCTCGTACAGTCGCCGCCTTTACGTGTCGAGAAGAGTGATCTCTACATATATATATATATATACACATCTCTTTCTCTTTCGATTATGCAACTTGCTATTTATAAGACGATAATTTCGCGCGAGTATTCGGATCTTTTTTTTTTTTTCTTACTTACTAAGAAATACCGTGACAGGCGCTTTATGTTCCTTCTCGTCAACGATGTATCTTGGCTTGGCGTTAGTTCAATTATTTTAAGCTGGATATGCAACAATTACGAGGCTGCGCGTCGAGAAGAGGGTCAACGTAAATTAAGAAGGAGATAAGTGGCTATTCCTATTATCGTTTTGTCCGTAAGTTAGTGGGCTCGGAATCAAACGTGCTGAGTCGCGTGAAAGCGTGCACGGGAGTATAAAACGCGACTTAACGCGAAAGGCGGCGCGGGTTTTTTGGTCCGCAAAAAGAGAGAGAAACAAACAAAAAGAAAAACAAGAAAAGAAAAGAGCCGAGTGCTCAGTCAGGCTGTGAATGTAAGGTCTGAGCCTCGGGCGCACGCTGACCTTTCTTCTGCTTCGCTTTCTTAATCCTTTCTTTCTTCATTCGGATTCGAAGTCAATCGCGTGAGACTAAATCTCCGATCTGCGAAGCGACGACACCGTCGATTTTGTCGGGTACGTGTACACGGAACAAAAAGAAAGAAAACGTTACATACGACGAGACCTCGAGATAATGTAATATTAAGCCACGCTATTAGTAATTTATAGGTGATAATGTGATTAGAGTGATGCACAGTGTGCGAGAGGACACGACGTAGCGAAGTGTGTGTGTGTTTTTTTTTTGTTGAGCGACTGTTTCGGAAGCACGAGTGTGATCGGAAGGGGGTACCGAAGTTCACGAGCTACCGATCGTTTCCGAGAGCCCTTCTGTAGTTGTTCTCGAGTTTACCGTCGACGGCCATAGTTTTGCATGCGAGAACGTGGATATGTCGCGAAATTAGTCAGACAGAGTTAGCGGTATTGTAACAAGTGGAATATAGACTTCTTCTCTCTTGTAAGATATATACATAATAATTTAGTGTCGGAATAATAGTTTAGTTTAAAAAAACGTGTGATATATGTTTAAATGATTCCAACTTGAACGAAAAGAAAAACGAGAAAAAAAAGAAGAAAGCAAGAAATCGGGGTTCTACGAGATCTTGATTGAGCTTGACTTGTGTCGCGTCGTGCCGCTCATTCTAGACCGATGAGCCGTAACACGTATAGACGTCGAATCCGCAGTCGGCGAGTTTCAGAAGAGTTTTCTTAGGGCGAAACGAAACGTTGTTCTTGCGAATGAGGTACCTCTCTCGTTCATTAATTGTTATTAACCCTACTCTTTATACTCCTACTATTATAGATTATCTTTATCTCGATTTATTCAGATCGGTTGATCGTAAACGCTTGTCAAAACGGCTGACGACGCAGCAATGATAGTACGCATCAGGAAGTTCCGCTATTTAACTGTCGCGAATCGCAAAAAGAAAGGAAAAAAAAAAAGAAAAGAAGTACAATGAGAAACGACAAAGGTTGACACGTTGATCATCAGTGGGTGCATGCATGTACTGTAACTTCTCCATCGATCGACATGGAGCGTAATATCTAAGCGTAAATATTTTTTTAAACACATATCATCGACACTTTCACCGTTAATTTTTTTAATCACATACACACAAACACGTAAAAACACGTATACACACACATACACACATGCACACTTACCATGTATACATACGTCTCCATCGCGTCGCGAAATTTAGTTAGAACACACAGACAAAAGAGAACCCGGTTGATCGCGCATTTGACGACCAATTTTATACTCTGACGAATGCGAGCGCTGCTAAAAAGACGCGTCATGTCGTAAGCTTCGCGAGCGCGCGTCGCGATTATCGTGTATAAATATATTTTATTACAAACACGTTTCAACCAAATTAGGCTCGTTGATCGTTTAGATTACGTGTAGATACGTGGATACGGGCGAAAGATTCTGGAATATGTAGTAGTTTTCCCGAATAGTCTGTTGGATCGCACCTAGAGATTAACTATTGCATACTTACACAGTTAAGTACAATCGAATGCGATTTAGGAGAAGTATCTGTTTCCTCTTTCTCTCTCTCTCTCTCTCTCTCTCTCTCTCTCTCTCTCTCTCTGTCTATCTATCTGTCATTCTTCCTGTCTCTCTTTTCTTTCTCTATCTCCGTGATGCCTCCGCAACCGGCGGCGACACGTCCTCGTCTGAGCGCGACAACGGGATCACAGTGTCCCGCTTATTATTCAGCGGGCATCGAATTTAGAATCGTGACTAGAGTCGTTCGCGATCAGCTGGAGACACAGGATCCCGACGCACGTTCTTGTGTCGCGTGGAACCCGGAAAACGCGCGAATCGTCTGACCAGACCATTCGTCGTAGGTGTTTTGCCGCGAAATAGGATGTGTCGCCCTCGGCGCGACGCCAAGAAAAAAAAAGAAGAAAAACGATGCGCTTCTGCTCTCTCAGCGTGTTTGTGCGCGCGAGCGATCTTTTTTCTACACCGAGAATCGCTTGTGTCAACCGATGGATTTGCTCGTGTCAAGTAAGTTTGTATTGTCACAAATCGATGTGCTCAGTTTTAATGATTGTCCCTCGATCCCCGACCCGTCCTTCGACCGCCCCCTCGTCCCACCCGTCCTCCCCTCGTCTTTTAAGTCTTGCTTAAGTGTGTGCGTTCGCTCGATACGAGAAATTGCTGTCATATGAGAAATGATGATAAAAAAAAAACCGTACGTTGTTCTGTATAAATTTTGTACTATAGTTTGTATTAAACAAAATACATTGTTTATTGCTTGAGAGCAACGCGTTGCATCCTTCGATAGCGTATTATCGGTCACAAAGCAAACATGATCGACTTAAGTATATGCTTATTATAATTTTCGTACGCCTCTTATGATTGACATTCATTTCATTTTGTATTGTTATGTACAGTGAATTCTTTTTTGTAAACGATTTAGAGAGACGCAATGAAGTTGGGAGCTCACTAAACTGTCAATATTGAGGAACATTATGGACGTATCCACATAATATGGTAGTACTAATAATAATTCATAATATAATTGCTGGACAAGTCTATCAGTAATGACTCTCAATTTTGACAGTTTGGTGAGCTTTCAATCTTATTGTGTCTAAACCGTCTCCACTGTACACAATGGCAATGTCATATCGCGAACAGCTTATATTTAAGAGGAAAATGGTCTAAAGTTATGTAGGGGAAGCAATGGAAATGGAAAAGCGATTGCCGTGTATCGCGTGCTATTCAAAAATTCTGTTAAGGAAATGCTCTCTTCGTGAACATTTTCGTTGAGATAATTGTTTAATGCGTTGTGTCTGAATCGTGATTAGGTATTCACGAGTGTCATGTTACTATAACGAGCTTCCGTGCAAATTGTTTATTTTTTTTTCCGTTACGAACCATGTTTTGCGTAAATTGTAGGAATAATATATGTATATTTACGTACTCCAAAGCACGCGCACAAATTCAATCGAATTGGGCGTCTATCTCGAAAATTGTTGATCCGGCGCAGAAAGCGAGCTTCGGAAGATAAGGCGTTTCGGGACCTTTTATTCGTTTGACGTACTTTGATCTGAGCGGGCCGACGTCCAAGCTATATACACCGCCTTTAACGTGCCTCATCATCGCCATAGTCTGCCGAAATAAGTGGCATATAGTTCGATCGATATGTACTATGAAATTTTAGAAATTTTTAGAAAGGTCTGATCAATATCTTAAAGAGAGAATAATCCATTTTGTTCTAATAATAATTTTCCTATAAGGAATACACACGCGGACAAATGTCGTTCTGATTGTAACGGTGGAATCTTTTAACGAATTTAGAAGCTGATTTTTGCTTAACTGAAATTATCGGATCAGCATAGTTTTTGAGTCGCAACAGATCGTAAGTTGAAGTTCTCTTGAAGTTGAATACAATCACATTCCTTTTGGGATATGATTAAATATCAAAATGTCAAAGTCTCTCTTTAAAGTTTAAAAAATTCCAAGATCTTTAAAATGTTAAGATTGTTTAAGAGTAAAATCTCAAAGACAACACGCATTATGTACAGCAGAATAATCTTAAGCGCTGTCGGGCTCACAGAGTAAGATCGTAAGTCGACGATCCTGAAGAGATTGCTGTCGCAGCCGCCACACGCGATGATCATATTCGTCACGTATTTGCCGGTGTACAACAGGGAAGAGTAACTATCGGGTTCCAAGCTGGCGATTAGCTTGCCGCTACCGTAGTCCCACAGCTGCATAGGATCGTTCTTCTGCCAAGCACAAGTGAGGATCTACGCAACCGCGATTTCGCATTCACGATCGTGAAAATGTTGTAGGAAGAGAGCAAACGAATAGATCGACAAGTGCGTACTTCCTTTCCGTTTCTACTAATATCCAGACCGTCTCCACACATATGTACACCCCCTATATACCGGAGGGAATGAGCTTGTCTGGTGTCCCAGAACTGAACAGTGTCGTCCCAGCCGCCGCTTATCAGTTCGTGCGCGGATCTCGGGTGGAAGCAAGCGCTGAAGACTCTGGATTTGTGGCCGTCCATTACATCCGGAGAATCGCTGCGTTTTAAGATTTACGCTTAATTGTACAGGCTGTTGCTTTCTTTTTTGCAACAAAATCTCTCTCTCGTGCGATATTGATATTGTAATTTTCATTTACGATGATGACATTTCGTCTGGAAAGAAAGAAAAAGAGAGAGAAGCTTTCATTTTAAGATCATCTTAAGGTCATCACCTTCCGTGAAACACCCTTTCTCGTCTCTTCGTTTCCTCGTCGTACAAGCACAGATTCGTGTCGTCCCCGACGGTGACGAATTTCGGCAGGACGGGGTGATAAGCCAGACCGAGCGTTTGCCGATTTTCCCGTATCGTGTAGAGGCACTGCGCAGTCGGGTAATGCCAGCATTTGACGCAGCCGTTGGCATCTACGTGGGCAGATCTACAAGTCTGAGAACACGACTCGCGTGATGGCCAGGACGAAAGATGTACTAACAAGTCGCTATTACGGTGTGCGTGATCGGGTGCGATCCGTGCACCGGCCGACGTTTGACAGCGGTGGTTGGCGCCGGATTCTGCATCATCTCGGCGTCGCACAGAGTCAACGTGTCCTCGCCGGTTGCGAGCCTGTAGAATTTCAGGTGTCCATTGGCTAATCCCGCGGCCAAGAAGTCGTAGGCTTCGGTGTAGCAGATGCAAAGCACCTCGTTGTCAGCTTCCCTGCAAACTGTTCGCCTTGCGACTCATTCCGCGAGAAGACAAACGTTTTTGATGAAGAAGAGGATCTTTGGAAGTTATTCGTTGAGAAGTAAGTCGCGGACGCGATTCTTTTCTGACGTTTGCGGGATTAACGCGGTGTATGATTAGAGTGAATAATTATTACATATTAATAGATGTATTAATATGTATTAATTATATATTAATTTATTAAATATCGCGTACAGCTGATTGATAATGCTGATATTGCCAGCGATCTTATAACGATATTCCGTTTCCGAGCGATCGGTTTGTATCGACCTCGAGGAGATGGATCTATCATACACGACGGAGGATGTCACCGAAGGAGAAGGTGTCATATCAAAATTGCTTCTCGCGGTGGTACCGCGTTGGTTGGATGAATCGTTGGCCACATCCGAAAGCTTCGCATTATTCTCGTCCCTATCCATGAAGCGAGTCTCGCATATGAACTTATACAAGTCAAATTTTGTGACAGACCGCCGCCACGGTACACTTGGAATTTAGAAATTTGATGATCGCTTCATTCTGGACACACATAAAGATCATTCTGTCGGGAGTCAAGGATTTACGTCAGAGATCGATTTATCAAAAACTTAAAACGACTCAATTTTGATAGTTTGATAAGCTTCCAACTTCATTGTGTCTAAACCTTTTTCCGACTCACTGTATGTAATACAATAATTCAGCGATAAAAAAACAAACCTATCAACTAAAATTGCTCGAAATTATTTACATTTTCAAAATCGATGTCTTCTCCTTGGCTCTCCCGCTCAAATAATTTCGCAACTAACTCGCAGCACTTAGCATCAAGATTGCCGCCTTTCATAGTACCTGCGGGATTCTTCCTAATTTTTTAAAAGTTCTTTAAAACTAGTTTTATCGTTACAATTACGATAATATAAATGTATTGGTAACATATAGAGAAGAATATAAAATATTTTTTATAGAAATAACAGACATGGACAACTAGTTTCACAAATTAGAAAGAGTCCCGTAGGTCTTTTGAAACTGACGGTCCTGACGGAAGTTGACCGCCAATCGCACGCTCGACAGCTGAGCTGAAGAGGCAAGAAAATGAAAGCAATAGTAACTTTCGAAAATTGCTTCGAAAATATAACTAATTTCGAACACTAAGTTGAAAAATCCGTAAAGGATTTAATCGTAATGAGTCTTGCAACAAATTCCGAATCTTTTAGCCAAAAATCGAACCATTTAGTGAAGACTCCAACTTTATCGACTCTTTGATTTTTTAAATTATGGTTCCAAAGTCTGCGCTACGAGCCGCCACCATCCTACTTCGAGGTCGTAGTGCAACTCAACGACAAGTCAGATCGACCTTCACTTTTTTAAGTAGTATAACTCAAGCTTTAGTCGGATGGTTTTATATCTTCAAGTAGAACTCAGTGGCAAATCAGAGAACATCTTATTTTTAGCAAGTGTGACTTTTATTTTTATTGTACAGCTCAACGATTTATCCAACGAACGATTGTTAGCGTAATCGTGTACAATGGAAATTTTATCTCTTATAATCGAATTGAGAGATGAAATTCCAAGCGTCTAGCGTGTCTACCCGCTTGATTTGTACTTGTTTCGCTTTATTATTAGTACTTAATTTTTTTCTGAACGTAGATACATTAGATATTTCTTCTATTTCCAAACTCGACATCGTTAGAAATCCGCCCGACGTAGACGCGGATTTCACCGAGGCGAGCTCGAGCGTACATACAACACCTGCGGCCATTTGTCGGAAAAAAATCTAACCTACACTAACGGAAAATGATCGTGTGTCATTGGGGGTGTTATTCTGGTCTACGAACGATAACAACAAACCGTACGAGCACAGTTGTCGGCGACGCGTAAGTGTTGGGCATCGGTCGACCCGTCGGCTCGCATTTGGTATGTCGCGAGTGCGTAGATACGCGTGACGAAGGAACGACAAAAGCCAGATACGTCGTAGTGATCGCCCCTGATTTTCACACGCAAATTCAGACGCAACAGTAGAGCGCGAGTCTGTGTCGGACCTTCGGCGTTATCGGAGTCACGCGCGTGTGTGCACACGCATTCGTGCTGTGCTCGCGATGCGTCGCGGCGATTTTCACGCAAGGCTAATGATCGCGTCGTTTCACCTTGAGGAGAAATCCATTCCCATGATATCATCGCGAGACTGCGATCGTACACTCGCTAATGCATTATGCAATATCCGAGATCGGCCGTTTCCTCGAAACTGAAAATTCTATATCACCCCGTTAGGTGAAGTGACGCGTCGCGCGCGCGAGAACGAGCCAACAAGCATTTCCGAAGTCGAGAGATGAAACATATGCTCGGGATTCTTGTCGTGATTCAGCGTGAGATACGGTGCATGTAGTCGTGCCTCATTGTTACTAATGTTCAGGATAATTCACTAACAAGGATAGCACGCAAGTAACTACGCATATAACACTTAGCTGTGTGACTGAGGTCTGAAGCAGTGCATCTTGTCTATCATTTTGTTCTCTTGTGTTAAAGGTATACTCAATAATGTCATCAATTAACAGTATTGACTCCCACGGGACATTGCAGTGGGACATGATGGAATTGGCACGTAACTTGCGACAGGAGAGACTCTTTGTCAATTCTGAACAGCAGAATCTTCAGACCCTCAATGAAAAAGTAAGCAACATGCATACACATTTAACAATGTAACAGAATGTAACATAGAGATATGTCATATACTAATCTTAATGTGTTATATACACTTCCCAAAAGATTGAGGTATCATTCCAAATTTCTTGGAAGAATGTCGATATTTAAACTTACATAACTTTGGAAAAAGTTAATGCTGAACTATGTGCCAGAAAATATTTTAGGAATAATAGCTTTGTCTTTTAAAACTAGTCGAGCTTTCTCTTTGGCAATGCTTGTTCTTTAGATGGCACCACTGTCAAGTCAATTGTGACAAGCTAATAGAAACTTCAACTTTGAGATTACATATACAGAAAAAGAAATTTTTTTTTACATTTTGCTTTAGCAAATTTGAAAACTTTTTTCTTTGAAATGCTTTTCTAGAAACAAAGTTACTTACATTTTCTCAAGTTATTTAGATGATTTGTATTAATCAGAGCATTTTTCATATTTCCATAAACTTTAATAATGTACTATTTGAAAAGATCAATTAATATATTAATTTGAGAGCAATATACTTAGCAATATACTTAGAAATATTATATATTTAGAAATATACTTAAAGTTTCATTTATTTTTAGGTTTTGTGTATGTCATCACAGTTAGCACAGCAAGCGTGGGTAACAGCTCAGCAAAGAGTGAATCTGAATCGTCTCATAGTAGCCAGACCAGATTGCACTCCTGCGTCGTGTTGCCTACGAGCGAACGCTTTGGAGAATTCACATTTTATCGATGCATACAAGTACCTGCGTTATCAGGCATGTTTGTCTTACGGAGAATTTCTGGGTGCATTGCGAAAATCACCCAAGCTCCTGGCTTCGTGCCTGGTCGAAGGCGACAAGGCGATCCCGGAGTCGATGCAGGCGATCGTGCAATGTTTAGCTGCCGGATTGTACGGTAGCTGCCTATTACCGGAGGACAAGAGTCTGGTCCTCCAATTGCTCAGGCACCTTATGCTGCTGCAGATAATCCCATCCGACAACCCACGAAGATTGCTCAGACACGGCACTTGTGCATTTTCGAGATTCTACTCGATCTTCCACGAGAGCCTGTTCTCCGCCAAGTTTTTCTTAACGGCTGCCCTGCACAGCCCTATCGTGCAATTGCTCATGGAAGACGAAATGTTTCTGGACATCGATCCGGACAAGGCGCCCATTCGGTTCCCACCTACAGAGAGATTGAAGAAATTTGGGAAGGAAGGCACGCCCGAGTACCAGGCGAAGCTACAGCGTTACCGGCTGTGGACGGTGAATTCTCTGTATCGCATCACGCAACGATTCATCGTCAATATCCGCGAGACGATGCACTGCTTCCCTACGAGTGTTTGTTGGCTCGTGAGACAAATGGCTGGGCTTCTCAGCAAGAATGGGAACGTGGACCCGAAAGAGGTGCACGCCATGTGCACTGATCTTGTGTTCACGTACTTCATTTGTCCGGCTATAGTGAACCCCGAGCCTTACGGTATCACCGACGCGCCGATAAGCTACGTCGCCAGATTCAATCTCATGCAGGTCGGACAGATTTTGCAGATGCTCTCGCTGCAAAAGTATCAAAATATCGACAGCAAAGTTATCGATCTTTACAAAAAATTTGAGAAGGACTCGGTGTCTTCCATAATAGACTCGATGTTGGACGGCGCGACGGAGGAGTTGGACGAGGAACCAGCAATAATTGACAATAATAAGCTTCAAGGCCTGTCACGATCCGCAGCCCTGTTCACGGAAAATGAATTGAATTCTTTAATCACGTTTTTGAATACGATCGACAGCGATAATAACGGAGAAGCAATATCGCATACAAGCACGTTCGATAGGAAACAATTGGCGGAAATGCTGTCTCAGTTGCCCTCGGGCTTATTGCATAATAATAAACTCTGCAACAACGAGTGTTTGGAGACGCCCAACAAGCGAAGTGCCGCCACGGGAAAAGGTATATCTTTTCCAATATCTTTTTTTCCTTATAGACAAATGCATATTTAAATATTACACTATTATTATAGTATCTTTCTTCCGCATATTCCAATATATTTTTCATCATAAACTCATACTGGAATGTTTTAACAGGAAAAGGACGTGGCATAAAGATGTCTGCATCATTTTCTCCAAATGTAACAAACGAAAGTGGAGAAGATGTTAACAGCGCCCCTGTTTCTGAAGAGGAAGCATTGGACAAGAATACTCAAGATGTGCTAGTCATCCCTTTCGGTCCCACAATTGGGGAATCTGTAGGACTACTTAGTGAACAAAAAGTATGTACAGTGTAATAGCACGTTACATATTATTTCCTTATATATTATTTATCGTTTAACAAAATCGTTTATTTATGTGTTTAACAAAGTTATATATTACGTACAATTTATGAAACTATCATTGATATTATTCCTTTAATTATTTTTAGGTTTTATGTATGGAGCTCCAAAGTGGTATGAAGAATGGACCTGTTACTCTGAATCTCCCTGATGACGCATCTGGCGAACACACTAGGCAAGAGAGCGGCAATGTCGAACGTATCGAAACGCAAGAAAAGAGGACTCGATTTTCACTGTCACATGACGAAGGTATATCAATTACTGATATTGCGTGGTGCCGATTGCATTACGGTAGTTTTATTTTTTCAGAGTAGCTTCATCAACTAATATTTATTTTGTGCTTTTTATTCATCTTTAGCGATATATAATGTAATATTCTTTTCCATGATTTTATTTAATCTTTACCATGTTTAAACTTGTGAGTTATTTATTTTATTAAAAAATGATAATTTTTGCTTATATACTATGTTATTAGAAATTGGCATGAGATGTAACTCTGTATTATTGTTTGGCTTTTATAACACATCTACATTAAAAACAATTAGTATTGTTCGAAGGGTCAATTGGTAATACATCTGACAATCTGGAAGCTGTGTCGGAAGCTGCTTCTAATCACAGCGTCGCTTCATCTCTCGAGTTAGAGACCGAAGATCAGAATGATAATCTTTCAGACATGGTATCTGCTAATGTATCGGGAAGAGGAACTCCGAACATATCAGGTATTTATGCTAAGTACTTTTGATATTCTTAATATTAATTGTAAGTCTCTTAATTTGCAAATTATGTAATTTTATATTATTATTCTTAGGCCGAGATACACCATCGTCTCAAATCACTGAAGGAGACGATGGACGTGCTGCAGGTGAAGTAAGACAATTGGATTTGCCGCCGCCTAATATTCCAACTAAACAAAGCAGATCTGAAATTGACGACAAATTTTGTAAATTTGAGATTAAGAAGCTTATTGAAGGTAAGTATATATATATATAAATAGAAGTAAATTCAAAAGAAACTTGTTACTTGACTATTACTTTATTAATATATCCACATGTATCTGTTGTACATAAAGTATTGCGCTTTTTAGGAGATGAGACTGTTTCTATGGTATCTGATACTTGGTCTACGGACGTGTTGGCCTCAGATAGCGAAATAGTTGAGCAACAAGATCGAATGTCGCTCCCTGTCCCTCCCGAACAAGTTCCATCTGTTCTGCCCGCCGAGCCTACGCCGACCATGTTGGACATTAGCGAGACCGCTTCTGAAGCTTGGAGTACAGATGTGTTGGCCAGCGATTCAGAGAGATTGACCGAAGTGGACACGGATGATACTGCTAGTGTCGCCAGGTGCGTTATTCTATTAAATTTATAATTACATTAAGTAAAATGTATATATGATTATTATGTCTATCAGAAAATCTCAACTTATCCACTTGCGACATTTTTGACGCAGGTCTGACGATACAGCACGATCAGAAGTCGAAATTGAAAGTCGCGCCGATTCCGAGGGAAACGAAGAGACACTTCAATCTGCAACACCATGTAAATACATTGTCGTATGATTATGTTCAGTGGCCAATTATACACTTCATACATTGATTCATTTAGTGATTCCAGGTCCAGATGGCCCGGGTATCAGTTTTCCCTCAGTTTCGGGTATCCGAGAGGACTCCAGCACACGTGCTGCAGCGGTAGTAGCTCCCTCCCCGACAGCATCTCCCTTACCTTCGTCGTCCAACGTAACAGGTCGTGGCGGGACAAGGTCCGATTATCGACGTAGCACTATGGAGTATGTGGACAAAAACGCGAACAATATCAATAATGTGGATTACGGTAAATCGTTGCGAGAAGACAGGCTGGTCCATTTGATAGATAAGCTCCAAATCGACAACGGTAAGCATCAAGTCGAGCGTCCGGGAACAGCACACAATCACATCGTTGCGGCTGCAGTCGCACCGGCGTTACTGTTAGCTAATCATATTTCTGCGCCTGTTTTGCCAGAGAAACCCCAGAACGGTGATGCGAAAGCGGAGGTTTGTATCTCTTCACACGATGCTTTTTTTTATCGATCTATTATTTTCTTGCAATGTTATTCAAGAATTTTAATATCACGCACTGAAAATTAGGAGTTGGACGGCTGCATGGCGTCTGTCGGGGACGCCGTGGGCCGATTGAGCACGGCCAGCTTAACGTCCAGCAGTAGTTCCGGCTCGGAGCCGCGTATGAAGAGTAATACGTCGACGTCGGACTTGCCGTTACCAACGCCGGCAGTCAACGGTAACTGTGACGCGATAGATGGATCGAGTCCCAGCTTCTCCAAACCAAACGTATCAACTGGAGCTATCCCGAAGAGTATAAGTTTCGACATGACGGCTGAGCGCGGTGACAAGGAGCTGTTGGACGACGATCAGAAGAATAAGCGCAGCTTCTTCGGGAAATTGAAACTTTCTCTAAGAAGCCGTAGAGGCAAGGCACTCCGCGGGACCGACGACAGATGCTACGACCGAGAAGCCGGCGGTGACGGCGTCGACATATGCAGGCACAGATTACGCAGGATCATGTCGGAAGACGTTACTTCAGCCAGTAATGTCACAGGTGGAAGGATATAGCAATAGCTTATCAAAGATTATAAATAATTTATAAAATAAGCTTATAAAAAAAATTATAAATAGTAATTGGTATTCTCAACTAATTGTAATTTTACATAGATAATTTTGGATAAATTGGAAAGTAAATCATGAACGGAAGAAAGATTAACATAGCTCTTAACCTAACATCTTTCAATTAATTTCAGACACCACCGATGACATACTAGCAAAGTACAGGAGGAAACCAAGCGCAACTAGTGACACAGCCTCGGTTGAAAGCAATCAGTCTCGCACAAAAGAGGTGGAGGACGAAAGACTCTCTATTGATCCGAATAATGTAGAGATGTCTTACGCTTTTGCGGATGCTAAGAGGAAACTACGTATGGTACTCAGTACCGCAGATCTTCAGCACATTCCGTGGAATACTTCTGAGGTATTACTTTAATTTTTATACTGTTTCATAGCGCGAAAGATATAAAATCTGGTTGTTGAAAAAGATTATTTGCATTTCTTTTACGTAATGTATATTCCTTTCCTTTCAGAGACACTGTTGGCTTCAGAAAGAAAACGAGCTGGTCGCGTTTCTGCAACTACAACTGGCAGAAGCTATAAATTTGCAGGATAGAGCATTAATTGCTCATCTCCACGAGACCTTACGTTGCGTGCGATTATTTAATGATGACGGATGTAGGAAGCTCTTCAAATCTTTGCGGGAGGACTATCAGAAGCGATCTCCTTATATCGCGTATTTAATCAGATGTCGTCAAGGGTTGTTATCGACACTAGCTCACTTAGATAGGTAAGACATCGCCTTATGTATTAATATATATTGATATATGTAATCGATGTGAGACACGATTGTCTAATTATAATATTATTTTCCAGGTTATGCGTACGAGTTAAGTGTGATCGGGATGCCATTAATAATCACCTGGTGTCCGTCTGCGTAAGGGTATTCTTAGAAAAGAGGGAGGCTTTCATTTTACGTTTCTGCGACGAATTTAAGAAGCTTACATTGGCCGATGAGAAGCAAGACCTCGTGGACAACTTTCTTGGGAAGGTCCATGCCGAAATGGACAACGATCCGATTTGGCAATGTACATCATTATTATTGCTTGTTTCACGATTGGTTTTACTCGCAAATGATTAAACGTGCTTAAACGCATCTCTGAATTTCAGCGGCGAGTTCTAGCCAATTATATCTGGCCAGAGCCGTAGTGGAAAGGACCGTGATGGCGCGAGTGTACCATAATGCGCTTTATCCGAATGGAGACGGGGATGTATATAGGGACCAGCTTCTACACGATCACATCAAAAAGTTAGCGAAAGTCGTAACTCCAAATCACAAGGACCTACGTATTCCGAAGGTCTATCATTACGAGTGCCCTTGGCCATGGGCGCAGGCTGAATTGGCTGTGATATCGGCGTATAAAACTCCTAGGGATAAGCTGCAGTGTGTATTTCGTTGTGCGACAACCATCATGAATCTGCTTTCCATGGCATCGGAAAGAGGAATACCCGCTGCCGATGACCTGATTCCAGTGCTAGTCTATGTCATAATCAAGGTAAGTGTAATTTAGCGACAAAAGATTCTTAATTCGCATGCGAAATAGACAATTCATATTACTCTCTCTGTTCGATTTCAGACTAATCCACCGTCGTTGCTATCGACTGTTCAATATGTAGACAGCTTTTATGGAAACCGCTTGGAGGGCGAGGAACAATACTGGTGGACACAATTCTGCTCTGCAATTGAGTTTATTAAGACAATGGATTAACAGTTTCTCAGGAGTATTACGATAAATACGATTAGACCCGTCACTGGTGATAATGTAGAAATGTATCATAATCACAATTTGACGATTTCGTAAAAGCAAAAAAAAAAGAACAGACCAATATCTTGTGTAAAGCTAGCTGAATAGCTGAATAGTGTTTTATGCTTCCGGTATCTTGATTATAACTAATCTTAAATAGCAGTCTAACGATTACTTCTTTCGCACGTATTACGTAACATTAGCAAAGACTGAATATCAGATTGTACGTAAGGAATGGCTTTATCTTTATTTGTAACTCTATTGTACAATTTCACAGAACATCGAAAGAAATGTTTAGAGATATTATTCTATAATTTATGTGTAAACAATATAGAACTTGTAGAATTGATAACCATTTAGCAGGATAAAATGTGTTTGAGTACACTATCTACAATACGTACCCCTAAAATATTGAGAGATCGCATCTAAAAAATGAAATATTGTCGTAACAATCTTATATAGTTTTATATAGCATCGCGTTTTGCTTTTTAATACAGTTGCTTATCTTCGATAGCTTCGAAAGTTTCTTCGCAATCAGGATTGAGAAATACATAATATTCAACAAATATAGCACGAATTTCCGCCGAGAAACTTAATAACTTGCATTACCTAATAAATTATCACAATATTATCCTGACACAAAAATCAGAGAGATAAGAAAAAATAGGAAGTTTTGCGCATCAGACAGATGCAAAAATAGAGAAAACCAACATTTTAAGTTTGGAATCTCCTGTCAGAACTTCGTGCTACATTTTTACTCGATGTTTCCTTAATATTAAAATGCAGAAATTAGGCAAACTAAATTCATCAACTTCGAGAATTTCCATCAGGATAACGTAATATATGAAAATTTCGAATTTTCTGCCAGAACTTCGTGCTACCTGCCTGCTCATTATATCCTCCTGATACTAAAACGCGAAAATCCAGGAAGCTAAATGCTCCAGTTTCGAAACTCCCGTCAGAACATTGTGTTACCTCCTCGTTCATTATGTTCTGATATTAAAACGCAAAACTCGTAAAGCTAAATTCTTCAGTTTCAGATTTCCCGCCAAGACTTCAAAATATCTCCTCGCTCATCATGTTCTCTTGATACTAAAACGCAAAACTTTGTAAAGTTGAATTTTCCAGTTTCGAATTCGCGCCAAAACTTCGTGATACCTTCTCGCTCATTATGTTCTTCTGATACTAAACCACAAAACTCGGTAAAGCTGATTTCTTCAGTTTCAAATTTTTCGCCAAGACTTCAAAATATCTCCTCGCTCATCATGTTCTCCTAATACTAAAACGCAAAACTTTGTAAAGTTTTTGTAAACTTTGGAATTTTTCAGTTTCGAATTCGCGCCAAAACTTCGTGATACCTCCTCGCTCATTATGTTTTCCTGATATTAGAACGCAAAACTCGGTATAGAATTCTTCAGTTTCGGATTTCCCGCCAAAATTTCGTGATATCTCTTCGCTCATTATGTTCTCCTGATACTAAAACGCAAAACTCGATAAAGCTGAATTCTTCAGTTTTGGATTTCTGGCCAAAATTTCGGAATACCTCCTCGCTCAAAATTTCGGAATACCTCCTCGCTCATCATGTTCTCCTGATACTAAAACGCAAAACTCAATAAAGCTGAATTCTTCAGTTTTGGATTTCCCACCAAGACTTCGGAATACCTTCTCGCTCATCATGTTCTCCTGATACTAAAACGCAAAATTTTAATGATTTTCTAGTTTCGAATTCGCGCCAAAACTTCGTGATACCTCCTCGCTCATTATGTTTTTCTGATACCAGAACGCAAAGCTTGGTAAAGCTAAATTCTTCAGTTTTGGATTTCTCGCCAAGACTTCGAAACATCTCCTCGCTCATTATTAAACTCGATAAAGCTGAATTCTTCAGTTTTGGATTTCTGGCCAAAATTTCGGAATACCTCCTCGCTCATCATGTTCTCCTGATACTAAAACGTAAAAATCGGTAAAGCTGATTTCTTCAGTTTCGAATTTTCCACCAAAACTTTGGAATACCTCCTCACTTATTATGTTCTCCTGATCCTAAAACGCAAAAATAGTTAAACCTGAATTCTTCAGTTTCGGATTTTCCGCTAGCACTTTGGAATATCTCTTCGCTCATTATGTTCTACTGATACAAAAACGCAAATATCAGGAAAGTTGATATCTTCAGTTTCGAATGTACTGCCAAAACTTCGGAATATCTCCTCGCTTATTATGTTCTCCTGATATTAAAACGTTAAAATTGGGTAAACTGAGCTGAGACCTTCGGTTTCGAATTTAAATTTTATAAAAAAGGTAATTATAGAGGGTGAACAGTCGTGCATGAATTGTAATGTAAAGCGATGATGAATAATTCAGTAAGATATATGAACCCAGATAGCACAGAGAATTCAAAAAGAATTCTCGTATGTTACCAATTTTGAACTTATTTTTAGATGAAAAAAGAATTCTTTTCATTGAACTGAACTCTGAAGAATACTTTTTGCACTTGAAAATGAATTCAGAATTGGTGATATACGACTGAATTTTTTAAAAATTCTTTTTGAACTCTCGGTGTTATCTGGGAGGTAACGATTACAATGATTGAGACAACATTGTAATTAAAAGCGGCGGGATTTACAAGGAGGTCAATCATATCGTAATTTGAACCAGTATAATATCAACACTTTAATGTAGCAATTTAACTGATACACAAGTGATTCGTTCTTATTTATAGTAAACAACTAGTAATAATTATCACTTATATGTATAAGGCGTAAAGCAAATAAAAATTTCTTTTTATAACACCTCACGATCATCATATACATAACGTTAATATCTTACCGGTGTTCCGCTGTCGGTACGAGAACGCAAGGAAACGGAGAGTGCGCTTTGATTTTCGTATTATTCATTTTTGTACGACGTTAGCATGTATTATCACGCATACATTACACCGCGTTGCGCGTTTTCGAATAATAGGAGAAGAACAAACCGACAATAAAATTAACTGACTCCTGAGAATAAAAACAATCGGTGTAATCAACGATCCGCGGATTGACACTGCTACATTACAAAACTCTGTCGCGTAACTTTCGCATCGGCCGCGCCGACAATCGCGTTTTCTAACGACAATGCCCGAGATTTCTATTCGACTCGGAATTTTGTTTGGTCGGCGATTTGGACTTTGATGGATTTCGACACTTGTCTTAACAAACGAGAGAGATATGAACATCGGGGTGCGATTTCATAGTATTGGAAGGAGCAGCTTTCGGGACGCGGTTATGCGAAAGTTTGACAAAGTATCTCTGCCGAGCGAAACAGTATGACAAAACACGCACTTATAGCTCGTACACTTGGTACTTAGCACCTCATAGAAACACATGTAAAAGTAACGATAAGTTACGCTGTTCGCGTAAATATAGTGGGAATAGGAGTTAGAGCGTCGAAAGTCGAAATACGTTAGACATCAGTAATGATCGGTTCGGAATTTTAGAGGAAAAACTTTTGTAGGAGAAGGTTTATACAGCGATCATTTTCATGACTATTAAAACGGGGATACCGTAAAGACACCGAGCGACATATCAAGAAGATCGTGAAAAAACATATGAATAGAGAGAGAGAGAGAGTGAGTGAGTGAGAAGGAGAGAGAGTGGAGAGATTGAGTAGGTTTTGATTTACACGTAAGAGAAAGAGATTAAGTCCTCTACCGTAGAACGTCTACGTTTTTATTTTTTTTTCTTTTTTGTTGCGTCTCATCTACGAGAAAAAACATCGGCACTGGTTCGAAACTTGTGTAATATTCTAATTACGGACTCTTCCGTAGTTAACTTTCATGTTTGTTAGACTTTCGAGTCGCTTAGCTCGCGAAGCGGTCTCCGAAATGCTGCGATTGAATGCGAAGTGTTTACGAACGAAACAAGATCCGAATTACAAAGCAGGGCAAATATAAATTTCACACTTGAACACAGTGGATAATTGCAGGCAACTATTGGTAAAAGAACAGTAAAAGACGACACGATAAGAAAAGAAAGAGAAAAAGTGAAAGAAGGAAACAGACGCGCTCGAGTCGTAGTTGAACGGAAGAAAGTGCTCGTGTGCGAACTTCGGGGAAATTTCAGTTCCGCGAGAGAACGCGGAGGAGAATGCGCCGGGTGATTTTAGCAGTTTGCCCAAGCTCGCGTAACTCGATTAAACGAGATTATTCGACATTATCTCCTGATCATCGCGGTGCTCTTTCCGTTATTTCGATCCATTCGTCGCAAGCGCGCGCCGAATGCGCCTTTGCGTATCGGCTCTCTCCCTCAAAATTCTCAAGGGCGACAGAGAGTACAGAGAGGAGCTTCAATTAACTCGTGAGCTATGCGCTTCCAACGAACGTTATCTAGTAGATACTAGAACATCTTGGCAAGAAGGTGCGGAGAAAAGTTTTGAGGCATAGGTCTTCTTAAGAGTCGGCGATTATTCGTATAGAAGTATATATAGCGCACTAGACGTAAATCCCGTATCAATAGTCATCACGTGAAACTTCATCACAAGTAGAAAACTCAGATTTCAATTTAGAGTTAGATCAGGATTTTCCGGTTTTAATCGCGATTGCAAACGCAATGTCACATAAAATTTAATTTATGAACTCGGATCTAACTCTAAATTCAGATCTGGGTATCTTATGTGAGACAAGTTTCAAATGGGATTTGAATTTAGAGTTTGATGTGAGTTTTTTCAATTAAATTGGAATTATTGATATAATCTCACGCATAGAACGCGCTTTAATTGAAAAACTCAAATCCGTCTCTAAATACAGATCTCAGTATTAGTAGCCGCCACATGAAACTTGTTTCATGTAAAATACTCAGATTTTTATTCAGATTTCGATCTAAGTTTCTCAATTTAATTATAATATATGTGATATTTATGTCTGTAATCGCGCGATTCAATTGACAAATTCTCGTCTAACACTGTATTAAAGTCTGAGTATCTCACTAGAGACAAGTTTCAAGTATTAACTATTGTACAGATCAAAGTATCTCACGTGAGATACAGTGATACGTGAGTTACTTTTCAAGTAACAATTATTAATGCGGGACATAGAGTGCGCCGATAAATCCTCGATATTAAGCGATCAACTCGCGGTTACTCGTCATCGATAATAATTCTAAAAGGGGGAGAAACTCTAAGTAGTCGAGAACGCTAGTAGAACGATTCTTAGGCGAGAGAAATAATCGTTAGTAGTTAGATAGAACGGGATATTGGAATATAAGAATGCGATAGATAGTTAATTCCGAAAGAACTCACGTCTCCTTCATACGTTTGACTTTTTTTCTTTTCTATTTTTCTTTTTATTTTATTTTATTTACCGCGTTGTCGTCGTCCACGGGTCCATAATATACGCTGATAATAACATGAGAAACTAGTAACGTTTCATATTGATTCTTAACTTCGTACATCTTAATTTAGGAAGAAATATCACGACAAACACGAGCAGCCCAACGTTATCGATACTCGTCCCGCTTCGACGAACGTAACCGAACCCCTTTTTCGCGCGCTTTCCTATATATACATATTCCTATCTTTCCCTCCTCCCCCTGTTAAGGCCTCTTTTTCTTTCTTCTCTTTCGGCGCACGTCTTCTTGTGAAGCAACTTTTCTCGAACTGTCGCCCTGTAACTTTCCGATGACGGAAAAGAGGAGATTGATTCGCGATAGAGGAGAAAAGGAAAGAGAAGAGAGAAGAGGCAGAAAGAGAAAGAGAGAGAGAGAGAGAGAAAAAGAGAAAGAGAGAGACAGTGTGAGTGTGAGTAAAATTGGAGAAGCTTTCGCGCTTCGGTGCGCGTTTCTTCCGTATCTCGCGATCGTATCGGATACGGATGTTGGAATGCGGAGGTATGTGCATCAGGCGGAAACGAGAAAACTTTGCGGGGAAATGGAAAGTGGAGGGGAAGGGGGAACAAGAAATGTACGCATGCTCTCGGGAAAAAATGGCGCGGTTCGCGTTCGCGTGATCTAGGCGCGCGTTCGAAACGGCGACGCAGCCACGTCGCTGAACGCGCTATCACAACCGTCTTTCCTCCTATGAAATAGTCACGTCTCGACACGAGGAATATACATAAACGACACGAGCGAAACTACCGGATGTCCGCGCGTATTCGCGCCGCGGCGCCAGCTTTTCTCACAGCTAGGCGACACCCGAACACTTTCCGTTTTGCCGGTCGAGACGAGTCGGAGGACTTTGTAATTCGTCTTCGCGACTCTGCGATTTCGTTCGCGGCTTCTCGTCGCAGGCACCGTTTCTCTGTTCTTCTCCCGAGACCGAAAAAACACGTTCACGAGCACGACGCGCAATGTGTTTCACGAGCAGTGCCATTTCATCCGGGAATTCGTAGCGCACGATCGGACACGATCAAATCGCGCGAGAATAAGCCGTGACGCCGCCCGAGATAGAATGATTTTAAGCCTATAGTCACTACAGATGTGCGAAAAACGTGCTGACGATGAGATTGATCTCGGTTTCTTTTTTTTCTTTTTCTTTACATTATATCAAAAGAGTGAAAGTGGGATTCTGTCGCGTGTAGCACGCTTCTCCCGCGATTCTGATCAATGGCTTCGCTAAACGTCACTAATAGCTCGCGTCGCGTGACGGCAAAATCGGACTTCGTCCCATCTTTTGCGCCTGGAGACGGGGTCAGTTCTTTTCTCGCGCGATTCATTTCCAATCGTCGCCGCGACGAGCGGTCCGCCGAGACCTAACGTTCGTCGACGTCACGGACGAGAAACGAACAAGCACTCATAAGGACACGCCGGGTGCATCCGTTTCTGCGTGCACCATCCAGACAACACAAAGCGAAGGCAAGAGACGTCTTCGTCTCTCAGACACCATCAAGGAACATCCAACGACGTGACAAAGACGTCTCTTCGATGTAGTTTTCAAATTAATTACACAAATTACAGCACACTGAGAAAAAATGCCTGATAGTAGGATATAGAGTTTATTCACGGAAATAAACTTTATACTCCACACACAAACAAATTCTCAGATATTTATTTTCGGTGTAGACGAGGCGAAAGGATAATTTGACGCGATCGATTGATCAACTTAAATTGCGGAGCTTCAACAGCGGAGTATCCTTCGGATATCTTTCGAGTGCTTTTAGGCGTCCTCAGAGGCCTCTTGTGCGTTTATGTTGTTTGGATATCGTCTTGGATATGACGTAACGAAGGCATACAGTTCGCGGGAATAAAGTATTTGACGTAGCAAACGTTGCTCTTTTTCAGCGAATTCTTACACTTCAATTGACGTCCACGCAACGGGGAATGAGAGTAGACCTAGACTTAATCACGCCGCGATTTCCGTCTCGTGAACACTCGCGCGGCGAATCGTCTCTCGCGTCTACGTCGGGAACAATGCGAGCACCTTTGTCTGCACCTTGCACTGAACTGCTCTCGCCGTTATCCAGGACTAGGACAACGAAGGCGGACACAAACAAGCGACTTCGCGACGAGGCTGACACTTCGCACGAGCATTCACGAGACGATACGTTACAACGTTTAGATATATATACGGCGAATGAGCACGCGTGCGAACACACATTTGTCTTTTTTGTTCTACCTGATCTCAGCACTTTTCGATTCTCTACTTGTCGCAATGCACTTGCGCTTTGTACACATTCCTGGTTGTGTCGGGAAATATTTGTCGGTGCGCTCTTAGCCGATGTAACGTCGACTGAAGCGGTTCGCGTTACGCGTGGTCGCGCTTCGTAATGGCAATTGACGTTCGCGCGGCTCATGCGGTTCTCTTATCTGTCAATCGTACAATCTGTTATTAAAGCGTATCAGTGAATAACAAGGTTATCGTAAAAAATTAATCTGTGTTGATTCGGAACATATTTGAAATTGATCAAAACAATAAATCCTTTTTTATGTGATTTTAATCCTCCTATGTCGCGTGGTGCGAGACTTGTAAGTTTGCGCGAACGTTTCTGTTGACGTTGCATCGTGTGTGTGACGTAAATTATAGTGACGACGAAATACGCAAGGTACAATTACGCTCTCGCAGAAAGTAACAACGACTTTTGCGCTAAATTAACAAACGAATCGGACCAAATCTGAATGATTATGAAAATATGATTTGTATATGATTTGTTTCTTTGATAGAGAATGGTGACTTTGCATGTGGAAAGAAAACTGATATGAAGAAAACTGATACGAAGAAATCTCAAGGAAATTTGAGTTTGAGAAAATCCCAAGGAAATTCGCACGAATTATCGCATGGACTTTGCGGTTTTAAGACGACACGAGACGTTCCTCTTCGAACAAACAATTTCCAAAATCTCCAATTTTATTTCTTTCTCTTTTCCTTTCACGTCTTATTTCCTTTCCAACGATCGTGATCATTTTGATATCGCTCGTGTTTCGACGAATCGGATAATATTTGTTTAGCGATAGCTATGAAAGAGGCATGCATTATTAAAACAGCGCCGTCTCGATCCGCTTTTACGTGTCGTGCGAATTTTAATATAGATATTTTCTTTCACTTTATTGCTTATGTGCTTTGTTTTATTTTAAGGTACAGTTGACCGCATCTCAGTGTAACTGCCGTTCAATTTCTCTTTTAACGGGACGTACTCTGGCAATCCTGCGCTAAGATTTCGTTCACCACACATGCAAAGCTTTCCGTCACTGTTCCGATATCTCTTTACAGAATAACATCTTTCCATTTAGTGTATAACCGGAAAAGTTCAAGAGTAACTTTTTTAAAATACCTTAATGTAATATGTTTTTATATGTATGTATATATTAATACTAATGTGTGTGGTTATTCATACTTGTTTATACAATGACTATTATTGAGAAGATTAGAGATATTATTAAATAGTCTTTATCCTTAAATATTAATGAGCACGAGGTGAATAGATGTACATCTTAGAGAAAGTACAATATAGAGATATATTATAATATAGATACGCGTTGTGTGTATGTGTGTGTGTATGTGTGTATATATATCTCTATACGTGTGTGTGTATTTATATGTATATTATTTATATATATATATCTTTCTCTTTTTTTGCATCTCTGTATAACGCGCGTCTACAAAACACAATACTGCCCGCGTAACTGGCCGCATGTAGGGTTCGAATTTTTGTTTTCTTTTTAGTACTAGTTTCATCACCACGTTGTTAACATCACGATACGTTGAACCGGGTGCCCCGTCGGGAGCGCACAGCTCAACGAAAGTGTTTACTTCCGGAAATATCGATCGTGTGTCGAAAGGTGATCACGACGAACGTGTTCGCAGGAGACAGGAGAGAGGACAAGTCGACGAGAGATTAAGAAGATAGGGAGGCACTAAAAAAAAAGGACAAAAAAAGAGAAGATGCGATGAAGTGATGAAGCCGCGCAAAAAAGGAAAGAAGCTAACTGAAAATAACTTAATAAAGATCCATCCCTTTCGGCAAGCTAACTATGAGTCGTCGGAAGTCACTGCCCTCCTCGTAGCGCTCGTACACCGAAAAACACAAACGTAGGTCGCTCGCACTCGTGTTTGCTCCGCAATTGATTATACTCGACCGGCCGATCGTGCGGTAATTAATGAACCGCCGTTAAAACTGTAACACGTCGATCTCCGCTGCTGCTTCATGCGGGAATCGCGTAACGTATAAATCGCGATCCCGCCGCGTCCTCTCTCTCTCTCTCTTTCTCTCTCTCTCTCTCTACATCGTCTGATCAATACAATAAAACTGTATGCATATAATATATATATATATATATATATATATATATAGATTTATGTATATATTATAATTATATCGCGCGATCGATCGATCGAAACTAATCGGACGGCGAGGCGATCAAGCCCGCACGAGCCGTCTTTCTTTCTCTTTTCTCTTTTCCTTCCTACCTTCCTTTCTTTCGCTTCCATATTCGCTTCCATATCGGGACACGCGCGCATACGCACAGGCAGATATATACGCACATTTACACGCTCATAGTACGGACGCATGCATTCACAAAAATAAATCTTTAACCACAGCACGCGTGCGCGTAAAGTTCCTTCTTTTTCGTCCGTCAGTCGCTCGGCGAAGCTTTCGCTAAAGCTGAGGACCAGTCGCTCTGATCGGCAAGGCTGTTTCGCTTTCCATTAGCGAAATTGGAAAGAAGCCGGAGCTTTTTCATGCTATCCGAGAGATGTTTATCTTACTACGCCATCGTAACGACAAAGGTCACCAGGAGCGATTCAAAATGACGGCGAGGTGAGTAACAGTATAATGTAAAGGGCAAACTCTTTCCGGCTGGCTTTCATCGAACAGCAATTGCGGTCTTCGCGTCGCTGAGATGGCGCGAAGGGCTAACAATCGCTCTCCTTCCTATGTCGAGATCGAGCGTGGTTTCCGCAGCATCTTCGGCAGGAGAGAGCGCGACGCATCCGTTGACATGACGGCCACGACGACGACAACGACGACGTTTGACGTGTCGCGTCATACGCTTGTCTTCCTTTTCCGCTGGATCAAGCTCTAGGTCGGTCTCTAAGCGCGTTTAGAGCTAGCGAAGCGCGTACGCATCGGCGCAATTTCGATTTTGCAGTGACCTTTGCCTCCTCGCGAATCTCTAAAATCACTAAAAGTTTCGTTGCTAGCGCGGCGAAACAGCCGCGCGCGATTGTGTATGTGTGTGTGTGTGTGTGTGTGTTTTTTTGTGTGTGTACGTGTGCGTGAGTGTGTGTGTTCACGTGAGTCCTTTCCGTTTCCGCGTGAGGTTCAGTCCGTGATGATGGGGCCGTGACGTGAGACACTTGAGGTCCGTGAGGGCCGGATGATGCCGTACCGTGTGTGTGTCCATGTATTTTGAGATGGATAACGTTCGACCCCGAGACTCGAATACCGCAGCAGAGCGCGATGCGGGCAATGCGCAAGGACGACGGCGCCACGGCGCGCTACCAGAGAAGCGAGAGAGACCCGCGGGGCTTCGCGCGAGGACGACCGAGTCCGAGGCGAGACGCCGCAGTTCGAGATTACGTCGATGTGACACGACCTCGCTCGTATGTACAAGGTTTGCGCTGCGGCGCGCGACCCGCTCGATCACGCGCTTCCTCGTCCGGAGAGAGAGGAGGGGAGAGAGACGCAAAAAACGATGAGGAAACTTCGGAGTCGACGTTCGAGTCGAAGCCCGTCGCGCACACGCGCTGCCGGGGACCGCGGCTATTTACGAACACAGTCTTTTAGAATTTCACTGATCGTTCCCCGACTACTTCGACAGTTGTGAGGCGTCCGTCAGTTACCGGTGCTCACGACCGCCGAAGAAACTCGTCGGCAGCGTCGACGCAACGTCGGGCCGGAGAGTCGTTTCTGCTCGCGTTCTGCGTCACGGCTCTCTCTCTCTCTCTCTCTCTCTCTCTCTCTCTCTCTCTCTTTCTCTCATACACGGGGCACGAATGGCTCCGCAGGTCTTTCCGTCTTGCGTAGTGCACGTGGCTTCTGCACGACCGAAAAGGCATAACAAGCTTCTCGCTAAACCGATCCGTCAACGAAACGGAGCGACTGGACTAGTCTTGTCGACTAGCTTGCGGTATGCGCAAGCGCCATGGGCCCAGTGACCCTGGACCTGTCGGTTACCGGCCCAATTTGCAGCAAATCTCGCCGGCACCACCTACTTGTGCGTGCCTGATGAGAATGCAGAGAGCGCGCGCGATTCCAGAACATCCGCAAGAAACCGCCTAGACGATGCCCTCGCTTGTGATAGGCGATCAAACTTGTCTAACTATCATCAACATTGATATCTTCGGAGATACTGATGATCCAGTGAACGAGTTTAAACCTAGGATGCGTATGCTTCTCTAAAATATCTCCGACGTAAAGTATCTACCGGCTGAGAGACGGTAACTTTGGACAATTAAACAGCGAATATTACTCCGCTGATGTCAATAAGATAAAATCGATAATGGCATTCTCTACTTCCCATGTCGTAATCTAACGCTAAAGCACAAGGTAATTCGCTTACCTAGCAAGCATGGTATATTTCATATTCTCTCGGGACGAAGTATCCTTGTAAAACGACTTGGCCGTTACATGAACAGTTAATTATTAAAAATAATCCAAGTGGGTTAATAGATAAGTTGTCCGTGATCAGGACGACTTACAGCTTTTGCGATTAGAAGAGGATCTGACACGCGGGGACGGCGTCTTGGCGGCTTCTTAAACGGACCTCGACCGACGGTCGCGCGGCGGTCGACGGGGTTCTACGATCGCGTCGCTTCTGCACGAGATACTAATTGGGCCGGGCTCCGATTCGGATATGCAGATGGCATAGCAGTACTTGTCTGTATTGGCCCAGGGCCTCACTGAGCTTGTGCACTAGGATCGCACTGCAACAGTCGCACGATAGACGGGTCGCTCTTTGCACCTTCTATAAACTCCTCAAGCGAAAGCTTGCCGTCCTTGTTCTTATCCATCTGTCGGAATATCTTATCAGTTCGTTTCTCCGGCGTCGACTCGTCGTCCGGCATCTTCATCACGGAGCCCACCATCTTGTAGATCGCCTGAAATCAGGCGACATTTGTAACTAAACATTGCGACATTTGCAATTAAACAAGGAAGAAACCAAGATGCAAGTTTCGCGCAAAATGATTTCCAAAATCCTCAACGTTTCTCTCCACTAAGATTTTTTTCTACTTTGATTAAACTCCCAAACAGGCTGCCAGAGTGTTCGAGGCATCCCGCACGTTGAAAGCTCCAGGCACAATTGTTATTAAATGTATATCACACGGGAGAGAAGAGCGAGACTACATCGGAACGTATTTTAGCTCTCCCTATTCTCGCGAATTCGTAAATCAGGTTTTACGGCGTACCGTTACGATTTCCAGCATTTCTTGCCGCGAGATGTAACCGTTACCGTCCAGGTCGTACATGCTGAAGGCCCACTTCAATTTCTGTTCCAACTTGCCGCGGGACGTTACGCTGAGGGCGCAGAGGAATTCCCGAAAATCGATCGTGCCGTCGCCGTTCGAGTCGAACGTCCTGAATACGTGCTCCGCAAACTGTGAGGGGCAGGAAGAGTCATGACAAATTTAAAACAACGCGAATAATTCTGGCCGCGTTGTAGCACGCGACATGTAAATAATTTCATCGGTCATGGTGGCGCGTCTATATTCGTGTCATATTTTTATCCACAAACCTCTCACGTTCGCCCTTTTGATCTTTCTGCGGCTTACCTTCGATGCGTCGCCGTAGGGAAAGAAGTTCCCGTATATTTTCTTGAACTCCTCCACACTGAGATGCCCGCTGGGACAGTCCTTTAGAAATCCTTTGTACCATTCTTGGATCTCCGCATCTGTTGAAGGAAAGCAGTAATGTGTGAGCAATAAAAATAAATTCACATCATATCCCGTGCACATATCTCATATCACTCATACGAGACAACATATCATTTATGTCTAAGCCGGTCAATGTTGCTCTCACCTCCGAATAAACTCGCGAGCTGCCAATTTCAGCCAGTGACGTTCGTATTACCATGTACTAGTATATCAATAATGTATTCTTAAAATTGAAATTCTCGATCACTCTAAGAATTAATATAGGCTGATGAAAGCCGCGAAATGTATTCCTCAAATGCAAGTTTTTGATTATTATTCCTTAGGCGCGAGTCGCGGATGAGACAAGCATTGAACGGCACGCTGGAAAATTGCGAACATCAGTTAGCCGATTATAAGCTACGAAGCGCACCTGAGAACTCAGTGTTCTGTTTGAGGTCCTCCAGCACTTCCGGCTTCAGCTTGCTGTTTTGCTTGCCCATGGCTGTCTCAAGTCCCTTCCAGAACCCCGACTTTCCCGACGAATCCCGGAACCCAATTAGCGGATAATTAAGCTTTAACTAGTCTACTATTCTAATAGTGCCGTTAAGCACAACACACTTCGTGGCTGGTATTCTCCACCAGACACGCCTGAAAGAAGAACAGATGTACGGTAACTTTTCAGAGGGGTCAGGGGCGAGGGGGTTTTTGCAATTAAGCGCTCCGATCGCGGAAGGAGACGACGCGACACGGCAAACAGATCCCGATAGGTCGTGCGTATCGTTTTATTCCCGCTCGATCGCCCCGGGGAATAATTATTTCACCTGGACCAGGTCGCGCGTGCACCTCGCCGGGAGATCAATGTCGCGATCACGAGGGAGACACGAGACAAAAAGCACATTTCCTCTCACCGAGGAGAAGAGAACCCAATGCTAACATAAGCGACGAAAATGTCAAAGGTCCGCGGGGGAAACGGTAAAAAAGATCTCGCGCGAATCGGACGTGCCGCACCTGAGGTCTTTGGAGAAGCTTTATTATCGCGCAACCTTTACTATCCGCCACTTAAATATCATAGCCGCGATGAAAAACGGTTAACGCGCGCCTCGCCCCGAGTTGCTCGAGCTGCCGTTTCGTCAAGGGGATGATACAACCGTCCCATCACAACTATCGTGTCGTGCGATCGTTCGCTCGTCATCGTGACGAGCGCATTTGCGACGTGCACACGGACAAGCGCCGTCATACTTTGCGCGCGTCTCTTCCTGCAAGACGGAAAACACATCTACAACACGCAGCAAACTAAAGAGACTATGACACATTTGGATCTCGGGAACGCGATGGGAACGAGTGTGGAGATGCTTCAATGGCGGGAAAGAGGAGGAGGAGAACGAGGAGGTACATGCATACACATTTTCTCTCACAATCATACACATTTACACGTAACTGCAACAGAAAAGAACATTTGCAAGATTAGTAACAACAAGAACACAGGTGACACGTTCCTAGCGAACGACATCAGGACTTAGCAAGTAATAACGATGACTCTGTTAGATCATTAGATTATAGACTTAGACTAGTAGACGAGCAGTAATGATAATACATTTGGAGCGTAGTGTGCTTTATTATAATAATATTAGTAATGACGATAATGCGGGTTCCTACGGTTCCTCGCCGTGCGCGTAACCCACATACAAAATATGAGTTTATTTTGATTGCTTAAACGGAATTATTATTATTATTATTATTAATTATATTATACCACAATAATATATATATATATATATATATAATGTAATACGTAATTACTATGTCTTACTTAAGTGTGTATGTAGGTATGTATGCATGTATGTATGTAAGTATGTATATATTTATATGTAGGTAAGTATGTATGTATTTATGTAGGTATGTTTGTATGTATGCGCGTACATACGTACGTATGTATGTGTATGTACACGTGCACATGTCCCGTGTACGTGTGTATACGAGCGATATTTGCTCAAGGAGCGGCGTGCATCGTGCACGACGATGCGATCTTGCGTTTCGCTCGCTCGTAGTTACATACAAGATAACGGACGACAGCTTCGTCGTCCTGAACGAGTCTCGAGATCCTAACGACGGGCTCTCCTCACTCCGTCTAAGTCTCCTCGAGGCATTCGGCGGCGAGTCGCATCTCGGCGAAACATCTGCGGGGAACGGCCCGCGCGCGTGCACACGCGTTTACTTCCCGGCGGCAGAATGATGCTCGCGACCTGTGCGTGTGACCACGTGCGAATAACGTTTGCGTGCACAAAGCTCACCACCTGTGCGACGACACTCGTCCTTACGTGCGTCGCCGTCTAGACGCACACTTTCGATACATTATTTATCAACGCACGCGAGAACGATCGTCACGTGGCGCGCGTCGCGATTCACCCTTAAAAAGATCTGCACTGGGAGAAGAAAATAAGAAATAGTAAATTTGCATTCACAGGCGGGGATATATCATATAAAATAACATATTTACTTATATTCTCTAATATAAAATATTTTACAAATAAGAAAATACTCATTTTCCCAGAACCTTAAGGAAACCTTAGCTTTTCGTGAAAGCAACTGTTTGTTTTATTCAAATAAAGTAATTTAGATTTAAGTAAACATGTTATTGATACCCGCCAAGAAAATATTTACTATTCTTTACATATTTTTTCTCTTAGTGTAATATTTATTTTATCACCCACTGAAATAGGTACCACATAGCTTTTTGCGAGATATTACTTGAATAAGTAAAAATTACTCATCCCTACGTTGAATCGTAACATAGCTTCACTATCTTTCTAGAGTTTTTCGGTATGAGTTACTCACACTACCTTTCTGGAGCTGAATTCGCGTGGTTTTCGTTATTGCCTGGTGTCGCAATCGCGAAGGCAACGCAGCCCATTTCGTAAGACCCCGTGAGGAGTCATTTGAGAAATATCGCGGTGATTGTGTCGATGTGCAATTCCTTTGCTCTTTCTTGATTTCTCTCGAATTTTGTTCCGCGAGGAGATTCGCGCTTGTCTTGCTTGTCTGTCCATCACGTGGAATTCGCGCTTTCCCAAGATGAATCGTCGTCGTGCTTCTACTTCGCGGGACTTTTGCATCGATACGCAACGAGGTCTCTTTCACGAAATTGAGATTGTTTACCTCGTGGCTCCGCGAGTTGACGTAAATTTATTCCGCGAACTCGTGGGCATGAGTAAGTTCGATAGACAAGGTCTTGTTTGTCGCGGGTGCTTCTCTCGCGCGACACGACGGCTGTTTTTACCGTTATCATTATTATTATTCACGAATGAAACGTGTCGCGAAATTAATCACATCGACGTCACCTGTCGCAGTGTCGGGCTTCGTAAAACACATGATCGTCAAGATCAACCGTTGACGTGCCGTCAACCTGTTGACGTTTAATAAAACAGACTTCGAGATGCCTAATTAATTTTCTACTCTGCCTTTTTTCTCTCATAAATTGTAACATGTCGCAACGTCGGCTTTCTTTGTTCTCGAACTCCCATTACAATAATTGCGAAATGCTGACTGAAAACGACGAGGTGTCTTTAATAATGATCAACCCTTTCGCAGTGGGATCTTCGTTCAAACAACGTCGCGAACAACGACAACAAACTTGCATCAACCAAACTGCTTGATGGAGTACAAGCAAGTTGTGTGAAAATAATCGCGAAAGAAAGAATAAAATTCCTTCAAGAAACTCACTGATATCGTGTAACGTTGCTTCGTTAATCATCAAACGCGGAGCCAAAAGGATCAATACACAAAGAGAGAGAGAGAGAAAGAGAGAAAGAAAGAGCGAGGACAAAATCGTCTTGTATAGTGAGAGTAATGGTCGCGAAATTACGTGAGATCATCGAGTATTGTGTGAAAAAGAGCAAATAATATAAACGCGACTTGGGCAAGCCGAATCTCACGCGCGCGCATTATTGGGGCTCATTTAATAGTAATTTAATCGCGCTTCTTAATTGGAAATTGCACGAAGTACGCACGAATGCGCTTGAACGCCAAAGTAAGCGAGCGCATTAATTATACAATTGCGAGACATTCGAGGACCGGATACGGCCAAACACGCCCCGATAATCTCGTGCAATCAGCGCGCGTACGCGCGCTGATTGCGCGTTTGCTCGAATCAACAAATAGCTAGTTAACCGACCACTTAGCCGCGTATACGCGATCGTTACTGAAAAACGAAAACAATAAAGGAGAGGGGAGAAAAAAAGGAAGAGGAAGAGAAGAACAGATTCGTCGTTAGCGCTCAAACGAGCCCGGACGAGCCTAGTTCGTCATTATATAATGTATAGCGTTATATAATATATAGAACCGATTGAAAGTTTTTAACGACATGGATAATGACTAAAATATCGCAGTTTCCGTTTGCGTTGTCGTCATCGTCGTCGTCGTCGTCGTTGTCGTTGTCGTCGGCGACGACCATCTTTTCGGGAGGAGATTTAATTTCAGATACAACTTCGGCTATCGCGATAACGCGAATTGTATTATCGCGTTTTCCGGGATTTTATTCGGAGAGGAGAAGTATTCCTCTCCCATAAGGGGAATACTTTTACCTTCGAATAACCCATTCCTCGAGCCGTTATTGCGTTACTTTTCGTCGAGAGTGGCTCGTGTATCGCACTGAGAAAAATATACTTGACAATTTTTACTTGTGAGATATAAAGTTTATTTCTGTTACTGAAATAAAATCTATTTCCGCGAGTAAACTTTACATGTCACAAATAAATTTTTAAGTGTACTTTTTTCTCAATGTCTCATCACTGAGGAAAAGGTACTCGAGAATTTATTTGTAGAATATAAAGTTTATTCACAGAAATAAACTTTATATCCCGTGCACGGAGAAAAGACTGAAGTATTACTTGCCTGAGGATGCCGCGCTAAAATATTAATATTTCCTTTCGTCCATGCATACAAGATAGTTGTAATAACCATAGTACCATGGAAGTGATACATTGGCCTTCTTTGCCGCTTGTTCATACGTATTTAAGTGGTACTCTCAGTGATGTATGGTGTAATAACTAAACCCTACGGACCTCTCAACCATAGATTTAGAACTTGTTCTCCAGACCACAACAGAGGAACATTCGGTTGAGGTAACTGCATATACATATGAGATAACTGAACGTTATACGTATGATAAGAACTATGGCTGTGAGAACTGTATAGATAGGCAACAACAGCAAGATTTAATGCCTCAACTATTTAACTTGAAATCATAAAAATTTTCTTTCTAATCATAAAATACGTGGGCTGTAGCAACCAGGGGCGCGATTCTCTAACTAGTTGCGTATACGTAAGTTTTACTGAGCAGCTATTTTATGGTATGATTAAACTTGCGCAGTAAAACTTACGTATACGCAACTAGTTAGAGAATCGAGCCCCAGAGTGGTTTCTCTACGCGCATTTCCAGCATTTCTTCACAGTGTGAACACGCGTGTGACTTGCACGTCAGGGATACGAGCATTCCTTGCAGAAGAATATTTCCTTTACAAGTGCATTTCCCATCGACTCTCGGCTAAATTTCATTTTTATGGCGTGTGGGCTTT